GTCTTGACCTGAGTGATGTCGTTGTGTGAGTAAAAGACACGAAGCTCGCTGTCACGTTTTCGTTTAAAAACTTGTTATCAACAGTATCATAGTGAAATTCGTGTTACCTACACTCTACCCTTAATTTAATTTGGAATCAATGAAATAATTGTTTTCATTTACATTGTGCAACAAACAAATTATTCTTAAAAAAAATGCATGAAATAATTAGTTTGCCACTTGAACTTCTGACTGAAATATTCAAATACAATGAAGATGATTACCAAACATTATATTCTTGTATCCTTGTCAACAAACAATGGCACAATATAAATATCCCAACTTTATGGAAGAATCCATTTGCTCATAAAGACAGCACCAAAATATTAATTAATTGTATATTAGAAGAAGATAAAGATTTCTTAAATAGAAATTGCATTGAATTAACATTTGAACTATTGGAGAAATTACCATTATACAATTATGCCAGATTTTGCACTATGCTTTGTGATTGCTATGATTTTCAATACCTGGTAAAAAGTAAAGAATTAAATTTACAGAATAAATTAGCAAATTTTATTTTAGATCATTCAGCAGGTATTAGAAAGCTTAGTACTACTGGTTATATAGATTATGATTTATTAATTAATCATCATAGATTAGATAATTGTTTTCAGAATCTTTGTGAAATAAGTTGCAGTAGTTTTGATAGTGGTAAATTTTTTTACAAATTAGCAAATATTTGTAAAAATATTCAATCATTAGCAATAAAATGTGGTAGTAATGACAAAAATATGTATAGTTTAGCACAGCTAATTAAAGCACAAGAGCAAATTAAATATTTAATATTATTTATTGAATCATCAATGTTACCAGATGAATTAAGGAAAGCAATATTAACACATTCACAATCAATAATTTCTTATAAATTTTATGGCAACGGAGATCATTTTAAGGATTTATTATTACCAACTTTTAAAAATTTAAAAACTTTAGTATTATCAAATTGTCATAATAGCAAAATGATAAATTTGAAAAATACTTCACTGCCAAACATTGAATCTGTAAGGTTATATATTTCTCAACCATATATGTCAGACTTGTCTGATTTTATTAATATCAATGGAAAAAATCTTAAAAGGCTGATTGTTGATGGTTGTACAGATGGATTGGAAAAATTATTTCAATCAATTGCACAATATTGTAAAAATTTAGAAGATTTATCTATATTATATGAAGATGGATTAGACCAGAAATTAATGGAAGTACTTAATAATTGTATTAAATTAAAAAGTATTAGATTTAATAATTTTCCTGAAGGTATATTAGATTTTGATAAAATATTGACAGTATTAAATGAAACACTACCAGTAAACTTAAAGTCATTAGCTATCACTTGTAATGTTTATAATGTTAGCCGCCATTCTTTGGATATTCTAATGAAGAATTGGAGAGGACTCAAACCTTTAATAATGGAGATTTAATAAATAAGTATGAAAATTTGCTGGAAAATGAATATAACGATTTAAGGTTTTTAAAAATTAAAAATATTTAAAATCATTTTATTATTATAAATGTTATCAATAGAGAATAGCCTGGAGGATTTCAATCTTACATAATTTTATTATTATTTATGTATTTGTCATTCTTTATTGTAACATAATAAATATATTATTATTCATGCTATATATATTATATTGTGTAATATTACATTTGATGGTCATTTATGATTTATTGTTATTGATGGCAAACATCAATTGAACAGTTGGCCAACATTAGCATTAATTTAATGTTAAGTATGATTAGTGGCAAGTGGCAAATGTAAATTACAATCTTGATGGTTACTAGTTAATATTTTCTTATAAAAAGAGTTGGAGCCCCTTTGATTTCTAAATGTAACATTTTCCAATATCTAATCATATAAATAAATAATTAATATAACAATAATTCTTTTAATTAAATAATATTTATACAATAATATTTACACATAGAGCCCTATGCAAAATTTGCATACTTAAAACATACTTATTTCATGCTCAAAACACACTTAATTTAAGTAGAAATTAATTAATGTTTGAGCATGAAATAAGCATATTTTAAGCACATTTCAAGTGTAATTTAAGCACATTTTGACTATTATGGGGAAACACTCTCGTTTCTTGCAAATTTAAGCATGTTTTTCTACTTATTTTCCATTTATTTTCTACTGAACTATACTTAAATTATACTTAAATTACACTTAAAATATACTTGATTTATACTTGATTTATTCTTAAAATTACTAGAAAATATATTGTTTATTTAAACAAATCACGCGAAGCCCTTTTTTGAAATTTTTGGGCGCGTGGCGCAGCAACAGAAGGTCTTTAGACCGAACCACCAACCATAATAATGCTATCTATTATTGCTGATCATCATTATTATTTCTAGCTCTAACATTATTCACTGGTGTTATTATTACTCCCATAATTATCATATTTACTACTGCTACCATTATCATTATTGATATATACAGCTATTGGTATTACTATTGTTATTATTATTATTATTTTCAAAAAAAAATTTATTATAATTATATATTATCACAAATAAACTAAATACTACTTTTCTACAAATGTGGTTTTTCTTTTATTAATTTCGTCAATTGTTTTAACAAACATTCTAAAGAAAATAAACCAAAAAAATCTTTTTTTAAAGGATATAAAAATAACTCAGAATAGCGATTATCACACCGGTGACCAAAAAGGAATATAACGCGTACATATTTTTCTAAAGGATTATCTGACGTTGTACAATCAACGATCAGAACGTAACAAACAAACAAATATAAAGGATGATAATAATGCCAATGTCAGATTTATATTTCAAAATCAAAGTATTGAAAATTGTTTTCCATTGTATATTTACATATTTGTGATATATGAATATTGGTAATCGTTTACAAAATAAAAGATTGCTTATTTGAATGATAAAACGAATAGGTAAAATGAATAAACGAATAATTCGAGTTCGGAAGGTTTTCACGAATCATTTTAATATTAATAATCGATAAAGGAAGTAATTAGCAATGATAACAATATAAGAACAACAGAGCGGCGAAACCATAAAAGGTCGACTTTTAACTTTTAATAAGACAGAATATTTAGTATTAAAATTAAAATCATCAAAACTTCGAATTTCAGCAATAAAAGAATCTTAGAATTTAAACTTGTATCTAGATCTACTATATAAAAAACATTATAAGTACCAATATTGTCCAGGCTATATGTATTTCAAACTCGGGCATTAAAGACAGCTCAAGCATGTTCTTATTTTATTATTAATATTGTCATGTACTTGCTATTACACCTGCTTATATGCACTTCGAATATGTTCCGAATTTTTTATTTTATGAATGTAGTTATGTTACAAGAAATATTAGTAACAGTTATTATACAGTAATTGTAAAGTTTGTTGCGTTTTTATTTTGAAGAAAATACAATAAAAAGTTTTTGTCAATTTCGATAAGAAATATCACCACCGTTCTAAAATAAATCGCATGTTTCATATGAAACGTGCCTGGGTATTAATATCAATTTTTTTAATAATAAAATAACAGG